CTGAGAAAATTCTATACTGTAAACTCAAATGAGTGGTTTATTTTTTGACTCAGAGCATGAAAAATTTCACATATTTTTAATATGAAGTCTATATGTCATTTTTTACTTGATTTACAAAAAACAGCAGTTTTTCCAGAAACTGGGAATATTCTTAGTTTTTTTTTCCCCAGAATTAGAGATAAAAAATAAAGTGCAATTCTGTAGTCTCTGGTTATGAAAGCCCTTTATAACATGTGATCCCGCCTATAAAATTTGAGGGGTCCTCTGTGGTATAAAATTACTCAGATGTTTAAGTGTTTGTTAGTCTATTCTTAGGTCTGCCCAGATTTGTTTATAAAGTAGCAATGGATCCCTCAGTTTTGTGTTTTCGGCAATAACAGTAACATCTCTGGCCCTGATGCTCATTTACTTTAAGGTCTCGTTAGCTGGTTCTGGCAGCACAAGGGAGCTTTAAAGCAGGTGTGAATTACATCCTATCCCACTTGAAGTTTAAAAATAAATCAAAGGGCGGCTGGCAGCATTTTGTGAGGCTCCTTGCCTTACTCACCCTTCACCTCCCACCAGGAACTGTTCTTTTTTTGCAATTTAGTGTTGGCTTGCAGGGGAGCTGCAATGTCTGTGCTGTTTGCTAGGAGACCCCCTCAAAGAGCTTTACTCCATCTGAACAAGTAGACCACATCCTGTTGCTTTCTGTGCAGATGTGAAGAGCCCTGACCCTGCTGAAGCAGTGCCGTTCAGCTGTGAAAAGAGGGAAGGCAGAATCTGGACCTACATTCATTGCTTGGTGTAAAATGCTGCCTGGTGGGGGTTGCTGGGGTCTGTCCAATATACTAAAGGCTGGAAAGATCCTGGGAAAAGGGCAGCAGCTCTGCAGAATCAGTAAGCATTTTTCCTGGCAGCAAAACCTGGCTGCCAACTGTTTTACAGACACGAGGCTGAGAGGAAGGATTACTTCCTCTGCCCCCTCCCAGCTCTGGCAAAGACACGAGGAGTACAGCTGGATGTGAAGAGCCAGCTGGTATGGTACCATGCTAGATAAAACACCAAATGCACTATTAGCAGAAGAGGCATCCTCCTTCCCACATTGCTGTGTGCTGTGTGTGTGGAGGAATGCTGTCCTGCAGCAATCCTGTGCTCACAGCAGACAGCCTGAGCTGCTGCCGTGCAAGCGTAGCCTCCTGGCCAGTCCAGCAGGAAATACAAAACCAGGTCCATTTTACTCACTGTGAAATTAAGCAGCAGAATGGAGTTAAAATACATGTTCCATGTCATCAGCTAATTGAATTCTGCCCCTATAAACATGATAACATTTTTAGGCTCTTAATGCTGATTCAACAGGATCTCCATCTTATCAGCTGAAGTTTGTGTTATTAATAGCACATGCACACAGGAAATGTATGCTGGCTCTTCCTGCTGCTGGAGAAGATCACACCCTGGACTTCCTTGAAACACAATTTTATAATTTAAAATATTGTAAGCCCCAATTTTCTTCTGTTGAGTTGCTTGGTCCTGCCAAGTGAAAACATTTTCCTAAGACACCAAAAAACTGTCTCCTTATACAACTGGACTTTTTGTACAAGTGCAACGACAGCACTTCAGTGAGTGCAGAGTCAGTACTGCAGAGGTGATGCAGCAGCTCCTGTACCTGTGACCCAGCCAGCCTACTGTCCTAGGGGTTTGAGAGGCTGGCTTTGTTTTTTGGTGGCCTGGATTCTTTCATGATTTTTCCATTTGCTCTTCTTGTTGAACATTGGAAATAATTCATAACACAGTACTCCCATGTTTCACTCACTGGGCCAGTACATCTTTGGGCTTTCAAGAGAAAGAGTGGTGAACTCATTTTAGGTGTATTTTGTTGTCATCTCAAACCTTTCTTTGAAGCAGCAGCTGCATTCTGTCCACCGACTGGTAGGAAGGAGAATGAAAGCAATTAGCCAGGCTCCCATCTGCCTGTGGGATGAGCTGCTGGTTATATCTTTTTCCAGGGCATGTGATTAAGGCCAGATCTGCTCAAACATTACTGATGAACCATTTGAAATCTTTTAGGTATGTCAGCAGGAACCAACTGGTGGCCAAATCAAGAGAAGGGAGAGGGAATCTAAAAAAACTTACTGCAGTAGTAGGAACTTTTTCTATGCTCTAATTCTTCCATTTGGTTTATCTGGTTTTCCCCTTGTTATCCTACACATATCATCTTAATAATGTCTCACAGTTGGGCGCAGTTTAAGCTCTGAGAAAAGTTTTGGGGTAGTTTCCATTTAAACTCGGACTGACTTGCTTAGTTTGGCAATCATCAAGCTTTCATAGTGCACAGCATGTGTTTGGGGGATTGGACATCCTCGTTACATTTTCAAGATAGTTTTTGATTTCAGCTTTCAAGTTTCTAGAGTTATGTTTTAGAATATAAACCTGAGCAGTTTTGTCTTTGAGGTAAACTTGGATAGCCCAAGGTTAGCTCAGACATTTGTTAGCGTTGGGACATTTTTTGGAAAATAAATTAATAGTAGCAATATACCTATTAATCTCAGAGTAACAGAGTCTGGTGTGTTGGGATCCTTCTTGATTTTCCTTCATTTTACCCAGTACCTCTCAAAAAGGTTTCATGGGGAAATGCATTTGCTTTTCTTTTTGAGAGGATTTTTTAGTGTTCTGGTGCCACCTATTGAATTATTTTCAACTGCACCCTATTCCGTTGCTATAATAAATCATATTAGAGAATAGAATCACAGGAGAGCAGGAGACCCTTGAAATGCTTAGAAGGGAATAAAACTGCCATGAAGTTCTTTTAAAATGATAGTGCTTAGTTATAGGCAGGAAAAAAAGGCAATCTTGAACTATTATTTCCCATACTGTTTTAAGACCCTGCTCTGAGCAAGGCAGTGGGACCAGGTGATCTCTTGAGGTCTCTTCTAACCTGGAGTTCTATGATTATGTGTAATGTTTAGCTTCTCTCACTGGGAGTGAACAATAAACCTTACACTCTATTTAAGCTATTAGAATTGTTCTAACTTCACGGGGGGAGGATGACGAAAATTATTTTCACAGAAATCTTGAGGAAGTGAATGTGGCAACACAACACGACAAGCTTATGATCCCCCTTACCTTTTATTATCTCACTTTACTTGGAAGAGACAATCTTGATGTGTGTAATTTTGTTTCTATTATGTTTGCATCAGAGATCAGTAAATAGCTTCAAAAGTATTTCTGAATGTTTCACTGATCTGAGCAGAATTTAATTTAGGACTGTGTTTTTTTGTGTTCTTGGGAAAGTTTCTAAGTGAAAGTTAATCTGTGACAATGCTCACGGAAAGTTAATATTTGGCTTGAGGTATATTTGATGTGCTAAACCAAAGTAAGATTTGGAAAAGGAGGGGGAATAACTGATTCTTCAGCTAATAAGCCTTTTGAAAAAAGAAAATCATATTATGGAATTTAGAATGACTAACTGCCAGCTTTCAAACACTGAATTGAAAACCATGAAAATACATTGAAAATACATTATGGCAAATATGAATGGATATGAATGTTAGCTTTTACAGGGTTCCTTGGCAGTTTAATCCATATAGTTATAAATCATGCAATTGTTGTAAAGAAATGTTGCAGACAGGAGGTTTCAGATGCTGAAGGTACATTGAAAGTTCAATAGATCAGCTATATTTTTGTTTCTTATCTGTAACCTCTCTTAGGTTAGGAAGCTTCTCGTGCTAAGATTCTGTAGCTTTGAAAAGAATGCATGGTCTGTGTTTCAATGAAGGTATATAGATATAAATGAATTAACATGCTAGGCCTGTTAATATAGTGGCTTCTACACCCATGTTATTCAATCTGTTTTCAGTCTGCTACATTTTAGAGATTATATTCTTCCAATTAAGATAAATGCTATTTTGACAGTTTCATATAATTTCAGGCAAACCTCATAGACCCATGTCCTTATCTCATGGACCAGATTTTAGGCAACACCTTTCCCCACTTCTGTAAAGAAATAAATGCTGCATTACTGTTTTTAGCTGAACTTCATTTGACTTCTGTTGACATCAGGCTACTGGCTTTTTCCAAATTGTCGGTTGTAGTAAGAAATCTTGCATAATGTATAGTGCACAACAAATTCAGTTGCTGACTAGAAAAGTATTCACAGGACTAACTTTTGTGTACATTTAGATTCATATCATGGCTTAGACACACTTCATGACAGTTCTGAGCACCAAGAAATTCTCACTCCCTGCAGATGACATTGCCATCGCTGGTTTTGTGTTTTGAATGGCTGTTGTCAGCCTTCTGAACTGTCCATATGGGGTGCAGAAGCCATGGTGGCCACTGAGCAGCCAGCACATGTGCTGCTGCTTGTCAGGTCTGTAAGGAGAAAATCTCTGGAGTCCCAGGATATCCGCTTATGTTGATCTTCTGTGTCAGAGATGAAGGACATAATTTTGATGCTGACACATGAACAGGATACTTACAAATCCCTCATGAGTATGGCGGTTTCTCACATAAAGCTGGCTTTTTGCTTTAAAGGTTGAAGGAGTTCATTTTCAAAAGAGTAAAGCTATAGCAGTTTGTAGTGAAGCTGAAGTAACAGAGAAATGATAAACAGGGAAGTTCTATCTGAACAACATGTGCCACAAGAAAGAGATAAATAAATTCCAAGAAATAAACATAGTAGGAAAGATCTGGTAGAAAAAAGAGCAAAAGAAGGAGGAAGGAAGAGCCAGACAGGTGGCTGGAAGTTTGTTGGATGGGGCCCTGAGCAGCCTGATCTGCAGGGTGGCATCCCAGCCCATTGAACTAGATATCTTTAAGATTCTCTCTAACCCAGACCATTCTGTGACCGTATACTTGATATTTTGGGCATCTGGTTGTTGCTGTATCCACTAAATATAACTTAAGGATGTGTGATGTCCTGGGGAAAGCTTAGCTGATATTTGTGTGGAAGGAATGTATCTTTATATTTTTGGCAAATTCCTTGAAAGTTTAAGTTACATTTTTTTCTCTCTCTTTTTCAGGGCAGGAGACAACAACGACCACACCTGGTACTGGTAAGAAACAATTTATATGGCAGAATTGCGTTGATTTTTTTTTTATTCCTTGATAATTTCTTCTTTTTCTCACACTCAATTACCTCACAGAGTGTATAATGCCTTTTCATTCACCCAACAAAATGAAATATGCTGTCTTATTAGGCAGGAATATCAGACGTCTGGTTTTGAGTACTGTATTTAAGTATATCTTAAAACACAGCATTTTGCGTGGAAGGCACAATCATAACCAAAAAAGAATACACTCCCTGGTTGTTCATCTGACACCTGTTGAATCCCCTGCACTTTAAATGTTTGATGTGCCTTTGCTTCGTTAAAAATTCCCGTGTCTCATTATGAGAGTGCTCCAGCACTGCACCCGGTGCTGTGGGCAGCTCTGTCCCTCCTCGGCCGGGCACACATGGATGGAGCACCACCGACCCTGCTGTACCTCTCACCGCAGGTGCCAGCCTCGCACACAGCACGCACTTCTCGTGGGAGCCCAGCCCCGGCCCGGCCCCGAGCAGCCCAGCACGCAGCAGCGCCTCCGCTGCCCTCACCGCACGCACTCCCTCTGCCTTCGGGGATGCTCCTACAGGTTTGCTGTCTTCCCTTAGAGGCCACACGCTGCTCTCAAAACTCTAGGGGAAAACGAAGTCAGCACCAGGGTAGCCTTTTTCAGCTCATGGCTCATCAAATGGAAGAGGTGTCTGTGCTTTGGCGTGGTGGCAATGCCAGGATAATGTGCAGGATCTGGTATTGGAGGGCCAAGTCTTGCAGTCACCACAGTGGCATCAAAAGTCCAGCTGCTGCCAACAAGGCTGTCCCCAAAGCAAGAGCAGTAGGAATGAGCCTAAAAGAGAATACAGAGACCAGTCAATGGTTTATAAACAAGGAGATAAATAATGAATCGTAGTAAGAAATACAGTGAGCAAGGTACATGACCCAGCAAAGGAGTACTGCCTAGAGTTGCTGTTTGTGAAACAGCACAAGCACTATTCATAATTGTGTTTTACTGTAAGAATATAGCAAAATGTTCTAGTTTTTCCCAGTTCAGAGATTGTAACACTGTTTTTATTTTGACTTCATCTGGAATTATGACTCAGTATTGACCAAAAAAATTGTCACTGTACATAGCAAAATTCATTTGTAAGTGGTATACTCCTAAAAATTTGCTTTCTATTTAAATACTCTTTTTGTTTATTTAATATATTAAGATCACTTTTCTTTCAGCAGTCTTCTCTAAATTACAAAAATCCCCTAAGAAACAAAACATAAACAGAAGTGCTGTAGTGTAAGACATTTCTAATGACAAAGCCATATGAAAGAATGAATTTCACATTTTAATGCTGATATGTTGTTTATTTTCTTACAGATGATTACAATTCAACATCCTTGCACAGCACCACCTCATCAGTCAACATGCCAGCAGGCACTGGGATCACCCCCACTCCCAGCTCCACTTACACAATAGGTGACAAACTTGCACACAGTTACCACAGTTCTGATACATCAGGCACAGAAAATGGATTTGAATGAGGCATTTAGAACGTTTTAAACATAAGCATACAAATTAGACATTCAACTGCATTAACCTTAAGGATGTTTTTATGAGCCTTACTAACTGTTCATGAGTAATATTAAAGATACGAGATTTGTTACTTGTCAAGCAAGTGCAAAATAGAAATTAGTTCCACACAGTGGCATGTAGCAGGAGGGTAAATCTGTCAATTATTATGTCAGTACTCCTTTTGTTATTCACAGAAATTTGCCCAAGCAGCAAAAAAGTGTGAATACATCTAAAATCTATGTGCCTCTCTGTCTTCTGGTGTCTTCCCTTTGGTTTCACACAGCAGTTCAAGCACTTGAAGTGATTTTAGTTGTCATTAGGTTGTAAGAAATTAGTGAGGTCAATAAAATACATGTATGTGCTTGTGCAAAGTACATCCAGGAGCTGGACACTTTCCATCTTCTTGAACTGTCCTTCGAGTAGCTGTAGGCTGCTGTCTGCTCTCTGACAAACCGAACATAGCTTTTACTTGGGGGTGCTCTGCCCCTTACAGTCTTGGTGACTCTCCAGTGGTCCTTCTCATTTTGCCCTTTCCTTAGGGCCACCATCCAGCTGGTGACTCCCAGCCTGGAGGCAGGCAAATCTAGGGCCTACCTTCTATGAAAAAAATAGATATTGGTGTGTTTTAGTGACACCTTTACCGTGGGATATACCAAGTAGTTGTTTTCAGGATGAAGTCCTTTGCTTAAGCGTCTCTGCAGAAAATACCAGCATAAATTTCTTTTGGGTATCCCGGTGTAAAAGTAGTCATTAAATGATCTGTACTGTTGTATAAATCTCTACCCAAAGGTTAAGAGTGGCAGTGCAAAAAGCAGGTAAATTTTGTTTCTCTGGCGACATTTTATACAGCTCAGTATACCCATTCCACAGCATAGATATCCTGGAAAACTACTGTAGTTTATCATACTGCCATTAGAATGTGTGATTTTGGAATATTCTTTTGTAATTCTGTACTCAGAAATGTTACTAATAACCAATTTCATTTCTAGTTCATTGATGTCCTTGGAAAATTGTGAAAGACACATGGTCCCTAAAATAACTAGTTAAAGAATGGGGTTATGTATAGTTTTCTTCCCTATTTCAAATCTGAGAGGACCTTTACTTGTGTTGAATATATTGAAAAAAGAGTTAGGGGCAGTTCTGCTCACCCTTCTCCAATGCTCTGTGGGAAAAATAGCCAATCTGTTAAGACAGACCTTCATATTGTTTTCTTTTCTTATAGAAACTACCACAGCGATACCTGAAGCATCTTGTGGTAAGAACCATACCCCTTATTCTCCTTCAGTCTTGAAATGTGACCAAAAAGTAAACTCAAATACAGAAAATTGGTAAAGCTGATAAAGCAGTAAAAAAAAAAAAAAACAAAAAAAAAAAAAAAAAAAACCAAAAAAAAAAAAAAAAAAAAAAAAAACAAAAACAAAAAAAAAAAAAACACAAAAAAAACCCAAACAAACAAAAAAAAACCACAAAAAAAACCAAAAAAACCCCACAACAAACTGATCAATTAGTTGTTTTATAAAATATCTTCCAGTTTTGGAAGAAGTAAGATAAAAGTTATTTAACAATTCTGGTCTTTTCACCTCCATTTACAGTAGCTTTTCTTTTAGCTATTATTGAAGACATAAAAGACTCTAAGAAGAACCCTGAAATGGCTGAGGTTTTACTGAAAATTCACACAAAAGACACAGAATATATTATTCTGGGGGATGGCATAGACAAAACTGTGAGTTCCAGCAACCGTTCAGTAGAGCTTCCAAAATGCCAGAATTACACTGTTGGAGTTAAAAATGGCAGGTGTTCAGATGGGACTTCTTCTTCTTTTCTTGTTCCAAAAGGTAGGTGTACAAGGCTTTTAGTAGTTTCTTTTCTTCTTTTTTTTTTTTTTTTAATAATTTATTTTTATATGCAGTAATTCAGCTTCCCCAGGTTTCTTTGTCTATTCCTGTTGCTTTTCAGAGAATCAGACAGCAAGTTTTCATATTTTGTCCATGGTTTGCAAGCTATTCTAAAGTTGTATATTAAAACTTCTCAGTATTTTCTTAAAGTACAATGAAAACAAACCATAGTTCTTTAATTAAAAAAAAAAGGGAACTTTAGCTGCACTGGCCATGTGCACTGTGGTAAACAATAGCAAGACCAGCCACCACTTCAAAGCCGGTGATTATGCTGAATGTCTGCACTAAAACGTTAATTTATTCTTTGAATACCTGTGTGTCTTTATCTCATGAAGGCTTTTTCAATTTTTGCTTTCCATTTCTTATTAAATTTTGCATATTATTGTATGCTGATTGTATCTTCATATTGCAGAACAAGTCAAAAAACATAGATGAACTGTTCTTTAAAGACTCAGTATAACCAATGTCACAATATATAATCTTCCTTTCCAGTTGCCAATGAACATTTTGAAGTCAAGGACACAAACGATAAATCTGCCTTGTTATGTTGGAGTAGCTCACTGGCCTGTGCTGGTGTGACTGTTACCTGCAATGGGACATTACTTCTAAACTATTCTAAAAGTGGGTTTTTTATTTATTATTATTTTTATTTATTTAGGTGTTGTTGATGTTGTCTTTTGGTGAGAGACTGGCAGATTTAAAGTAATTGTGCCAGTCTGAGAAAAGGGTAGCTCAGAATTCATGGGATTGCCAGTTGGAGGACTACCATCCCCACAAGTGCAGATCTGGGAAAATTCAAACCCAGAGACCTCTTTTGCTGAGTTTACCAGCTTCACAAATCACACAAATTCTGGAGATTTTGAGGTCCTGTTTGATTTTCTGAAGGGGAGCTGAGCAGTTTGGAAATGCTGCAGTCTGTGCTCGTGCTGTGAGCTGACCCCTTGCAGGCTGCCTTGGCCACTGGCTGCACAGGTTCCTGGATGGCCAGGCTCTCTGCTCTTGGAGTCAGCCGGTCTGAGGACATGCTGGCTCAGAGGCACCTGGTGTGATAGGGCAGATATGGATGCTGAATGGCCTCATGTGTCCCAGAAAAATGGGTGATGGATGTCTGGGGCTGGAGATTTCCTGCTTAAGGGAACTGAAGAGCTAGGAAGCCATTCCAGGGTACTGCCAGACTCCCCATGACATGTTTGGATTTCTGTAGGAAAGCTGTTTCCTTAGAAAGTCAAATTATGACCTTTACTGATGAAAAGTAAAGGTCTGTGCAAACTAAGTTAGTATGTAAGAACATAAAATCTAGTCATTGGATCAGGTTGTACATTTTTCTGCTTGGAATATCATGATAGTTTATTACAAATGATATCAAATAAATATGGTAGAGAAAATCTCAAGATGGTGCCACATACTTACGGAGTTGTGAAAAATATTGATAAAGCTCTTCTTGTGTCTACAGATTCAATGTCTAGAGATCAAAATCAGACTTGTGCAGTGCTGAAAAATTTATTACCATACCGTCGGTACGACTGCATTGGATCCATACATTTTAAAGAAAGCAATGTTGCCAACCCAAACTTCACCATATATACAGACTGTGCTGGTAAGTGTAATGCTTACTTTTGGTTTAGAGTCCACATATTTCTGGGAACTTCTACTATGAAACCCATTATCTGGGTTTCCTGGGGTTAAAGATACACTTTGAGCAGCATTCTCTGCCACACTCAGCTTCTCCTTCAGCTCCTCCTTCCTGGTCTCTTGCCCTAGTGGTTGTTCTTTCATTGCAGTCACCCTCTCACTCTTCCAGTCTGAGCCCTTCTTTCCTTGTATCAGAGACTGTGATTATTTTTTATTGCTGTTTTGGAGACTGAGAACATGATCAGCTATATGGAATTTTGAATGAAGACGCATATACAAAAAAAAGTGCAGACCTAGTCTGAAACCAGTCTTAAATTCTCAATATGAAGATATTGGACAATTTTAGTAAAATGTCATGTTGCTGTATTCACTTGTCCTGAATTAATTAAATATATGAAATTACTGTAATATGATGCTTTTACGTATACTCAGTTTATACTTATGTATACCTTCTTGAAATAGAGTACAAAAAGTATTACATGTTGTTGGTATCTTGCTGTAGTGTCAGATGAAATTCAATTTAATTAATCAAAATAGGTCAAAAGAGGAATACTTTTATTTTCATTTATTGCTAATTATTGTTATTTTTCTTTTACAACAGTTCCAGAAGCACCACAAAACCTTGAAATAATACATCTAACTAACAGAAGTGTAACAGTTAATTGGACGGCACCTGGGGACACTTCTAACTGTCCCAATAAAGGCTACTTAGTGAAATTCTTTGTGAACGGCAAATGTAAGTATATTCACATTTAAATAATTAATTGCATGTACATAATTGCAGAGCACCAGGCATAAATGCACTGTCAAGTCCTATTGGAATCTCTTAATACTGTAATTTATTTTAGACAAATACTAAAATTTTCTTCCTTTAAGGTTGTTCCAGTTGAACTTTTAGTTGAGATTATTCAGTTTACCATGTCAGGACATGACCCTGTCACCCTTCAGGTGGCACAAATCTACGGCAGTTAGGCATAAACATGCTTAGATGGGTGTAGCCAGGGGATTGGCTTCTGCTAAATGGCCACTCCTTCCAGATATGCTGGTCTCGGCTATCTTACATTTCAATGAATAAATTTGTATCCATTGTACTGTGATCCATGTTCTCCAGGTGCAAGCTTTTCTTCAAAACAAGGATTGGAATATGAGGTTTTTACTATGAAGAGCCTGATAATAATAAATATGTATCAGGTTTAAGCCAGTCCTGGCTTGATTAATCCTTTAGGCTTAATTCAGCCTTTCTGTTCACATACTGCAGTTATGTAAACCTGGGCTGCCACAGGAACCGAAGGCTGTCATGCTCCTGTGCTCCTCTGATGCAAATCATCTCTCCCATTCTCCATGCCCCGAATTTGACCACAACCCAAAAGGGTGGGCAGCCCCATGAGCCAGTTTTGTGGCTTGGTTTGGCTTGGCCACTGTAGAAGACAGGCAGTAACGTGTGGCTGCAGGGAGGCCCCATGGTGAGCAGGCAGAAGGAGGCACAGAAAGGCTCCCCAGCTCCCCGAGGCACTGAAGCCCAGCGCAGTGCGGGCAGCAGCTCTGCTCATCTTGCTTCTCATGCAATTCTGTTCTTCTGCTGTTTGCTGCTCCTGGAAGCAGGACTACCACCACATCTCAGGCATCACACCAGGATAGACTTGCTCAGTGTGCAGTGACACCTTCCTATTTGCCCCTTCCCAGGCTGAATGTTCTCTTTATATGTAAATACTCTCTGTGTATTTATGTATTTCCTCTTCTTCCTGAGCCTTCATTTAGCATTAGTAAGCAAAGCAACCAGATTAAGGTAATTAAAATAGAAGTGCACATGACAGGTTTCAGGTAGCTCTGATAAAGTGTAAGCGTTCCTGTGCTCGTAACATAGATTTAATTAATTTCATTATTTTCATTTTTCAGTGGTTCATGATGGAGAAACCAGCACAACTCACTATGCTTACAATGACTTTGAACCTTATACCAAAGCTTCTGTATCTGTGACTCCATATACAATCAACAAACACAATTACAAGCTTGAAGGTAGCAGTGAAAGCTGTGAATTTACAACAAAAGCAGGAGGTAAATCTGTTTGCTAACTGTTATGACTAGGCTGATACTAACACAAAGAATTTCCTGGTGTAGTTCATTATATTTTATACATGGTATTACTATTAGCCAAGAAACTGATTAAAATGAAAATAGTTGTACTGAAATTAAGATAATTAGTGTCCCTTTTAAAATTACTTAATGTTGATCTATTTTTGAATTATGCACTTCCTATTTTTATTTTTCTTATATAGATATAATTTTGAAAAGATTTCATTCATTTGAAATTCTTGTGAAGTCTTTAGGAAGGATTATATCCTATAATAAAAAAAAACTAATTAAACAAAAAGATAATAAAAAAAGTTTGATTTTTTTCTTTGTAGCGTGAAAGCTACAAAGATATACAGCCTGTACCTTCTGTTGTGTAGTTACCTGTTTGCTTGAAGTAGACCCAGGCTACACCAACACTGTCCATCTGTAATGGATGTCAGTTGGTTTGGATGTACCTGTACACAGCTTCCAACATTAGGTTAAAGATGAAAAAATATGTGCCATCCCTTCTGCTGACAGAAAGGTCTGTGCATCTTTTTGGGGCTATCCTTTCAAATGTTTAGTTTCAAGTATACAGAGTCACCTGAAGCCCCCAAAAAATAAAAAAGCTGATAAATTAATTTGCTGATAAATATAAACAGGTTGATCTGAGACTTAACTGTAGTACCAATTAAAATATGGCTTTAATTTTTAGGCAGCCCTAATATTAGCATGATCATGGTTCTTTTCTCTACAAAAATTTGAGCATATTATCTTTTGAAGCCCCCATTTTCTGCGTTCCACTCATTTTAATAACTCAGGCGAAGATTAAAAACTACAATATAAGTTTATGGATATGCAAACAACCTCATTTCCCTTAGTTTTTGCAAAAATAACAAGTTGCATCATGAATTAATAGTATTAATTAGACCTTTTCAACTATCACTACAGTTAATAAGAAGTCAAGCAAGAAGTGTAAGGGTTTTATGGTTTCTTGAACTGAAGAACGTGTCAGTGGAACACAAGTCCTTGGAAGCAGGAAAACCCCTACATTTTATAAAAGATGTTTTCATCTTCAACAAATACATTGCCTCCAGATATGTTCACTTTCTCCTTGTCACAGCTCTTTCAGCAGCATGCGGAATAGCAATCTAACAGATCTGCCCTGTGGATAAAAATGATCAGCTATGATGTAACCTCACACTCAGCCAAGTAAATATCCTGCCACTCCTCACCTGGGATATTTGATCTGCTTGTAGAGCCTGACAGGTCTTAGCTCTTCACATGAAGAAAAAATCAGCTGCAGTTTTTTGGGTTTTATTTTTTCTCAATATGCTGTTTTGCAAGTTTACATGTTTTTGTAGAAAATTCCCATGGTGGTGTTCTACTGAAATGTGGCTACTGAGATATGGCTACCGAAATGAGGCTGCCTTACAAAGGCTGCCTCATTTACTTTGTGAACGGTTTTACCAGCTCACAGTGAAAGGTCCCTTGGCTGTGCCCTTTAATCTGAAACCTGCAACATTTGCTGCAACAGAAGAAACTAGAGTCTGAAACCACAGATTAGACTTAACAGATTCTGTATCATTAAAAAGTTTTTGTGGCTTTAGGCCAGACTTAAGTGAAAGGACACTATTCTAAATATTAGAATACACTAGTGACTTCTGGGAGAAAATTTAATTTTAAATAGTTTTGAAACTATATTTACATGTGAATATTTACATGGAGAACTCTTTTTTCCCCCTGTCTTGTCTGTTGCCCCATGTTCCCCAAATGAGAAAGTGATGTCAGATGGAAGAGAGATTTGCCATCGTACTATTTTTGCAGTCTGTCAGTAGAGCGTTTCAGTTCATCTTCACATCTTTTTCAGCTTAGATAAGCTTATGATTAAGTCAAGGTGATTTTACTTATCTTGTTAAATTTGGACTGAAATTTTTAAGGAAGAAAATATATTAAGTTATTGAGAGAAGACAGGAAACAGACATGAGCACATACAGCTTGGAATGCTGGGTTTGAAATGATGAGAATAGAGCAAGTAACTATTTTTCTTGTCTACAGAACCAGAAAAAGTCCATCATGTTAAAACAATATTGACAGCTGATAATGCTGTCCAGATTACATGCAAAAAACAAAATGCATTTGGACCATATGCACATTTTATATTGATTTGGGAGAATGATGGAAAAATTGAAAATGAAAGCAAATGTGAATTTAAAAGAGAAAATCTCTTTTACAGGACAAACTATACATTTAAGGTAAGTTAGCTTATTGTGTTAAAATACACAAAATATTGTATTAAAATATAGAAAAATATTGCTGCATTTTCATTGTTTAAGCATGTTATGCTTGATTTTAGGGAAAAAAAAGGCAAATATGGTGGCAGAGAAGTCAATTTCTAATCTGTAGGCCTTAGGTGTATTAAAGTAATTATTATTTTGGAACTAAGATGCATATGTGCCTAACCTATCAAGCAATCCCTGCTGTGCTATTCCACATAGGTTCTAACAGCAAGAAAAATGCAAGCAGAATACACTGCTTGTACTTGGCTCAGGAGAAGTTTGGGGTTTCCATAAGATTAAAATAGTTTCTTCAGTATGACTGATATTTTAGTTTTCAAAACATTTTCCATTTAATGAATGAAGATTTTGGTTCTTCAGGGACTCATTAGTGTGAAGCAGTTGAGATCCTTTTGCATGCCTTTACATCAGCCTCTTACAAGCCAGTCCTTGTGTCTGTACAAAATATAGCATCCTCCGTTTACACGCTTCACTTTCCTCAAGGCTTCCTGCAATTTTCTCTTCTGTCAGGCATTTCACCTTTTTGGGGTTGCCTGCAAAACCAATGGCCTTGTGTGATTCCCTTAATATGGCCAGTAGGAATATTTCTTATATCCTGATAGCTCCTCTCAGTAAAGTTTAGGCAAGAAAGTAACCAGTAAGAGTGTTGGAGTTTTACTACTTTTAAGAAGCAGTTTTGCTCATTCTTCACAGTCTTTTCCTCCTTCTTGATTTTACCTGCACAAATGCAGTATCAGGGAACTTGAGTAATCTCAGTTTCATGTCAATATTTTGTGAAGATTTTCCCAGCAGATTCTGCTCAGAGAGCTTTATATTTGAAAAATAAAGATGAGGTCCTGTAGGAGCAAAATATCCTTGCGTTGTCCCAGTAGCACAGGACCTCTGTGCCATTTAAGGTTTTTGTCCACCACTTTCAGTGAGTAGTTTTCCTTACAGAAAGAATTTGCTTCTGCACCTCTAAATCCTGGCTTCTGCTTTGCATATATTTTGCTTAATTCTTGCCCAAAAACTGGAGAAAGCCTTATGGGCTTAGCTGGTAATGAAAGGACTGATGATGTTATAGAAAACTCACAAGGAAAAAAAACCCCAGTGTAAATTATTTGACTACAAGCTGTCTTTTAGATCTGGCAGGAATTTCTATTAAGGAAATTTAAAAGATCAAATAAATATTAAATATATAATAAAACATAAACACAGTTGAACAAAGTTAGTGTTTTAACACGATTTAAAGTACCGAAAAGTTAATGATGCAAGAAAACACCCTATTTAAACTTCTCTGAATTACCTACCCATACATAAATTTGTACTAAAACCATCAAATTCAGTGGACTATTTGTATATTTACTGTTGCATCAACTGGGGTTTTTATATAGTGCATGGTTATTTTTCAGATTTGAGAGGCTTAATAAAAGATCAATTTGATTTTACTTTGAGATGCATCTGATTTTTATTTCGTAAAGTGTGTTTCCTATTTTTCTAAATTCTTTTTCCTGTCATCTCCATATTTTTGAATCCAGATCTTGCTGTAACTTGGGTATAAACCTGAGCTGCACTATAAATGTCAATGCAGGGATTGACAGCAGACACTGCTGTCAATGATGTTGTCAATAGATGGATGAATTTGAAAAATCCATTGGGCTTAGTTTTTTAAGAATTGTATGCAGAAATTTTTACTTGTCATGTCTGAACATCTCTATTATTGTCCCCCACTGCATGCAGATCTTCGTCTTTAATGGAGAATACAATGGGAAAGTAGTAGTGGGGAGTATAAGAACCAGATGTAAGTAAATATGTACAGCATCTTCCCCTTTTGATTTTAGCATAATATAAATAATGTAAATTGTGAATTCAATTAAATTGCTCCTAATTAAAAATCCAAACTTCCTGTTTTACAGTTAATATTTGATCTGCATTTGAAAAATATCCCCATTCAGTATTAATGTAGCAGATCATGTTGACAAGTCATTAATCATAACTCAGAATTATTACACAGCTGTGGTTTCTTCAGGAAACATTCAAATACAACTAGAAATTAATTTCTCTAACTGACATGATTCACTTTTGGACTATTTTCCTGTGTTGGGATCCCTGCATTTCAGGAGCTGAACATCTGTGACTTGGCAGAGGTTCCCAATTCCCAGATCAGCAGCAGCTGAGAGCTGCACTGTACAGGTCACACAGAGCAGGAGGCAAGCACAGTAATGCTGAACCAGTGAGTTGTAGCATTCTGACAGGTGGACGTGGAGAATTTAAGGGAACATTTTCTTAATGAAAACATAAATTTCCCTCCTCTACTTTGGCATAGCAAACTCAAACTTGTTTAGTTTTTTTCTCAAAAAGGACCCCAAACCAGAAATTGATGAGCACTGTTTCTAGGGAAGTACACAAGTTTCTTTTTTTTTTAAGTAATTTTAAAATAATAAATGTATTGTTTTTCTGTTGGTAGATAATTCTAGAGCCTTGATTATATTCTTGGCATTCTTGATCGTTGTGACTGTAATTGCTTTACTACTGGTTCTGTACAAAATCTATGATCTTCACAAAAAAAAGCTGAGGTAAGCTTCATGTTTGTCTCCCTCTCTTACATAAATGGAAGGGGCATGGGGGAGGCTTTTGGTTTTTCCTCAAGATTTCACAGTGGGTAGTGACAAAATGTTACGAATTTGATGTTTCATGAATACTGGGCAAAGATATCCTTTTACCTTTAAATCTTTTAAAAGAAATGAATTTTTTGTGTTTGTCAAAAAACCCCAAATATAATGAAATAGATTTAAAATCTTGCTGCTCTACCCTTATTTGAGGCACAGAAAAAAATGACTTGTCCCCTTGTTTTGTGAAAAAAAAAAAAATCAGAAATATGTGGAAAACATTTCCTTCATGGTTTAAATCAAAAGTAATGAAAATAATCCACACTTTCTTGGAACTCTTTTAATTGATTGTTCACCCTAAACAATATCTCAGGGAGGTGTTGCTTATTACAGTGACCTCTCGATGGCTCAGCAGTTCTGTAGCACAGAGGATGGCAATAGAAGCATGGCCATTCCATTCCTTGATGCCTGTGGCTCCTTAGCATTTAAACTTATTGTATTTTATGTATGGGTTAGTTTTCTGTCACTAGCAAGGGAAGAGAAGATGGTGTGAGCAGTCACTTCAGTGAAGAAATTAAATACACATTTGTTGTAGGTGAGATAGGCAAAATCAGGCAGGCACTACAGGTTTTTGGTGTGGCCACCTTGTTTCTCTGCCTCGGGGCGGGAGGGCCGGAGGACAAGGATCCCAACCACCTCTGCATAGTCCCAGGTGTAGCATGCTTGTTTCACTGATTTGATTTACCTTATTATCATATGTATCTTACTAGTCAAAGCATTTACAGGTGCTTTTGCTTCTTACAGCAATTCTTCTGAAGGCGTGAACCTTGTTGCAGGTGAGTATCTTTATATATTTAGCAATTTATATTTATTTCCATTTAGCAAATAGAAATAAAATTAGTCTCAGGTCTTGCTACCACCTTTGGGTTATTTGCATTCTAGGTTGCATAGACAGATTACAGATATCAACATGATAACACCTTATATGGAGGACAAAAATACTTCAGTAAATACTTAGAAGTATTCATACTTGAGTGAACTGAAAGTTCATCAGTGTTTGAAAAATTCTTATTGGTCAATTAAAAACCCAGTTATAATTATCCCAGACAATGTTTGTGATATGTTTAACACTGAGAATAAGTCCAGAATAAAATCCATCTTAAAACATAATTTCCCTTTTCTGTGCACCTTTTTCCAAAATAAGACTGAACATTAGTAAGTTATTTTTTACTGAAAAAGTTTGACGTCTTTCAAATCCCAAAGACTGAAAATTTTGTGCACCTTTTTGTGCAAGATTTTCAAGCCTGTGCAGAAAGACAGGATCAGTCAATACCAGAAAGCTTCAAGTAGAAAATAATTTAGAACACTAAAATTCACAAAAAGTAACTACATTAAATGGGAAGTAGGACTGTGAATTTGAAATTCAATTCCATTTGCTTAGACACAACTTTTTAATGTGAATGAAAAATTTATATATGTCTACTAAGAGGTGTTAAAACTTGTTCAATTGTTATTTTTTCATTCAAGATGATATTGCAGATTATTGCAACTCAGAACATAAATTTGAGAAAATGTGGAAAGTCAGCTGATACATGTTGTTACTTTTTTTAATCACTGACCAGACTGAAGCAGAAGGCAAGGCTGTGTAACTGCTGTGGGTGTTGAGGCAGTTGCTGTGCCCTGAATATCACAGTCACCAGTTTGTGCAAAAGTACTGATGTGGTGTCCCTGCACGTGGCCTCCTCCAGAGGTGTCTCCAGTCAGGCAGCAGAGCTGGAAAAGTTATCTTATTCCCACAGCCTGTTTGCTCACAGCTGGCTCAGGCAACAGCAGTTTTATAAAAATAAATGCACCAAGTTAAAAGAAAGAGTTTAGTACTTTTGTTAATTTATCTGGCAGTTTTAGCATCACATTTACTGAAGTGTGATGGACGTTTTCAATATCAGTAACAATAAACATTTGACTTATTTACACAGTTAAAGATGATGACAAGCAACTTCTCAACATAGAGCCAATACCCTCAGAGCTATTGCTGGACACATACAAGAGGAAGATTGCAGATGAAGGAAGGCTTTTCTTGGAAGAATTTCAGGTTTGTCCTTCACTCAAAATATACCACAAGTTTTTATCCAGGTGTTGGAAGAATTCCATCCAGGAGCATGTTTGAAGTCCATGTACTAGTTAGAAATAAATACATAGTCTAGAAAATTGAGTGACTTCTCATCTAAGGTCAAATAGCCCTCTGTTAATTCTGCTAGCAATCTCTCACCATTGTAAGATGAAAATACTATTTTTTTCCTGAAAGTGTTCTTCAGCAAAAATATAAAGTATGCAGTCTAAATACCTCTTATCCTAAAGTATCTGTTAACACATATTTTTAAACTTTGTCTTACTGCATAGCCATGGGGATGTAAATAATACGTAATTGTGGAGATATATACCAACTATATTAAGGAGAAGAATTTTTTAAACTTTAGCTATAAGAAATATAAGAAGTAATGTCTTATGAAGTAAAATGTTACCTTCCAGATCCAGTAATTCATTCCAAATTATTTCCATATTCATTTGACTATTTTAAATTTAGACTTAACTAATAAAATAAATTTTGTATTTTACAGAGTATTCCTAGAGTCTTCAGTAAATTTTCTATAAAGGAGGCCAAAAAGAGTCATAATCAGAACAAAAACCGTTACATTGATATTCTTCCATGTGAGTATTTGTAATAATTTTGACATGTTTTATATATGTTTCATTTATCATTGCCTTGAGATAATATAATTATTTTGGCTTAAATGATTTAAACAGATGACCATAACCGTGTTGAGCTCTCAGAGATGCCAGGAGATCCAGGATCAGACTATATCAATGCAAGTTACATTGATGTGAGTGACCTTTACTTAAAAAAAGTAGATACTATGGAAGAAATCCTGTAGTTGGTGCATTTGAAGCATCAGCACCTTGGAGGATTTCCATTGGGGTTGCTTTCACCTTTGTAATGTATTTGGTATTATTGAATTGTTGCATATTGAATTTATTTTTAAAGTTGAAAATCTTTTAGATTGTTCATGCTTTCTTTCTAAAAGTTAATAACAATGTACTTTTCACAGGGCTTCAAAGAACCAAGAAAATATATTGCTGCACAAGGTAATTTATAATCTTAAAAGAATATGCTTTCTTTATTCACCCATTTTTTTTAGAGTAGTAAAATCCTATTAGTAAGCTTAAAGGAAAAATGAAGATCTGACATTTTGAAATTTAATATGACAAAGTTGTCAATGAGTTTTTGCTTAGGGAATTTTTGTGACAATTAATAAATCGTACTTCAAAGACAGATTTCTCATGTTGTATAATTTTACACCAAAAGTTTTCAGATTTTGTAGCTAGGCACTAAAGATGCAGATGAGAGTTTTTAAATGCTGTAGCCTACTGGCAGCAGCCATAATGAAACTAAGTGTGTGGCTCTGCCTTGCATGATCTCTGCTTAGCTCTTCAGATTGCCTAGGTAAGCATGCAGGTGTTTTATCATGTGGGTGCACTCTGAAAAAGTCCCTTAAATTATCTCCTTCTAGGCCCCAAGGATGAAACCACAGATGATTTCTGGAGAATGATCTGGGAACAGAAGGCAACCATTATTGTCATGGTGACTCGCTGTGAGGAAGGAAAGAGGGTGAGAAATATCCGTCCTTCCCTCCTCCTATCTTTCCACCATGTTTTTCTGAAAGCTGAGTGGGTTGATGTGCTGTGCTGAATTACATACTTAAGTACTTTGTTTTTTTCATTCTTTGCTATTCTCTCATTGTGGCAGAACCTGTGTTGGAAAGCATGTCAAAACAGTGTTGCCTTATGAATTACAAGTCTTACCAGAAAATATCACTTTAGTCACAGCAGTGTGTAGCAGAGGGTGAGCTTCCAAATTACAGCTAATTAACCCAGAAAAGGGCTCAAGGTAGAACTGTAGCTCCTCATAGATCTGTTAGAAAAGGTATGGCTTTTATTTTTCTCCTGTCTATTCTGATAACCTGGCAGTGCTCTCAGTAGAGTCTAGAAAGAATATTTTACCTGTGCTGCCTTTTTTAAAGTGGAAGGCTGGGTGCTTCTGGCCTGCTTTTGTTCCTTATTCCAGGTACAGCAGGAAGAAGGGGAACTGCTGTTTTAGCTGCAGTTAAAGATGTTGACAGCCTGCAGATTTACAGCACACCCAAGCTGATGTTATAGGCAGGCAGGAGCAGCAGCCCTCATTGAAGACTGAAAAACAAGGCATGGAAGTAGCTGCAAACATTTCTCCAGCCATCAGGCAACAGTAGCAGTCACTCTTCCTTGTTTCAACTGGCGTACAGGATTTTTTTTTTCCCCACTATACATCTGAAGTTAAATTACATGGCCATAAATTTCAGGTCAGAGACCTGAGTTGTTGGATATTTGGAATTGAAAAGTTGGAAAAGCTATACTGATTTGCCATCTATTTAAAATTAGGCTTTTTTCTAGCTCTCAGTTCTCTGCCACATCACCACATCACATCACTTACTTAACTTCATCTCTTCACAGAACAAATGTGCCCAGTACTGGCCATCAATGGAGAACGGGACTGCAACGTATGGGGACATCATTGTGAAGATCTATGAAAGTAAAACATGCCCAGACTATGTCATTCAGAAACTGCACATCACAAATGTAAGTTGACTCAAAAGTGAGAGACTGACTGGAACTGGAGTGTCCATTTGGAGTCTGTATTTTAAGAGAGAAGAGTCAGCTCCCAGTGGAAGATGCTCTGCTGCCTTTCCTAAACATCATATAGCTTAAGGGAAAACTTAGATATAGGTGTAATTTCTTGCAAGAAATAGGAGTTAGATATATATTTCTCAACTTCAAAAGGTATCTTTCCTTAATTCTCTGGAACCTACATTTAGGATTATGCTATTAATATGCTGCTAAATGGTAAAAAATTAATATATACCCTGCGGTGTCTTTATATATTTAGTTTGTTCTCTAACACAAAAAATTTGCTGCTTTGTGTGTATCTCAGCATAACCCCCTCTGCATATAAAATCAGTGTGACACATTGGTAACCATTATATACCCTTCTGATAATTGTACAGTGGGACAATCAAAAATTCTGGTAGTCTCAAGTGCGTTTATAAATATAAGTGTTTTAAAATCACCATTTAGAAATGTGTAAAGTCATTAAGGCTGGTTAATTGCTGTCTTTCACACATCTGAAGTCACATTAGTTGCCCTATGTGTAATTGAGAACAAAATTTGCCATCAAAAGCTAAATGCTCAGCTCAGGCCCTTTGCAAAACTACTTCCATGATAATAAATGAGCCTAAATCATAGCTAAAAGCACTCAGACTCAAAGAGCAAATGTGCTGGCAGATCTTCAGCAAAGCAACGGAATCTACCCATTTTGATTCACAATTACAGCTGGAAATTCCTATTCTGCTGTCTCATGTTGCATTAAAATTTACTCAGGAAGTGGTCTGATTAAAAGAAAGCTGTAGCTTTGTGTGGTAAGTGAGCAAATCAGGATGTTAAAAACTACCTATTTACAAAGACATTGCTCTGTCCCTTAAGGAATCTGACATTAGAAATGAATGACTGCAGCAGGTTGAGGGCTGATATTTTTAGAACTGTCTGCTCTTTGTTCTGCTGACATCATATGAATAAAGATAAAATGGATATTGGTTGAGGAATTGAAGAGTGGTCCATGGCAAGAAGGTGGGGACTTCTGCAGTTCTGGTAGAAGAGTGATGTTACTGAAACAATGGCAAACAACTGTATGAATAGCTCTGCCACAATTGGATAACTCAACTATGAGTAAGAATTTGGAGGTTAATTAGTGGAAACATGCCTGTACAGCCATATAAATCTTGGCCAGTAAAGGAATGTCATTGAGGGGTTTTTCTAATTTAGTTTTATAATCATGGTTATCAAAATTTATGTCCTCTCTGTTAGTCTAGCAGCAAAATACCAAAGTCCACTCAATACTCACGTGCTTTGGGCTTTAATCTAGTCACTTAGATTTATGTATACATCTGTATACATATACTAATGTATATATATTGATTGATATATATTAAAAACCAAACTTCACTTTTTCTAGGGAAGAGAAAGGACAGCTGGAAGAGATGTCACTCATATCCAATTCACAAGCTGGCCAGACCATGGAGTCCCTGAGGATCCACATCTCCTCCTCAAACTCCGACGCAGAGTTAATGCCCTCAGCAACTTTTTTAGTGGTCCGATCGTGGTTCATTGCAGGTAAATATATATTGTTCTTTAAAAAAATTGGTAATGTTAAATGACTGAAATGAAGCTATTCAGAAAAGGGATCTGGCAAAAGTCTTTGTCTGATCCCAGATTTTGTGACTTAAACACTTGAAAATGAGGCAGCAAAAGATACACCAGGCCTGTTTTCTGAAGGATATGAAAGAAGTTCAGGTTGATAAAACCTGGGGATACACAGACTTTTGAAAAACCGCCAGATCAGTGTTGGGCTGCTCTGGCTATAAGCACCGTATTTGGCCATGTTGGCCTTGCTTTCATTAAAAGATACTAAAAGTGCAAACTCATCGTTGTTTGTGTTGCCAATGAATGCCATTGCCTGTGGATAACCAAGTCCCTTTGTGCGTGGCAGTGCCGGCGTTGGGCGCACGGGGACGTACATCGGAATCGATGCCATGTTGGAGGGGCTGGACGCGGAGGGCAGAGTGGATGTTTATGGCTACATTGTGAAACTGCGTCGGCAGCGATGCCTCATGGTCCAAGTAGAGGTACCTTCCTGACACTCCTGTCACCACTCTCCTGTTCTAGGGCTTCAGCAGTATTCTCACATGTGCATTGCTCCGTTCAGTTGAAGCTGTTAATAGAAAATACAGCTCTGAAAAGTATTAAGAGGGAAAAAAACTTCCAACATAATTTTTCAATTTTAGAAACTTCAACTTTTAAGTTCAGACTTTAGATGAGGAAGCCAAGGAGAACAGCTTTTTTGGCATACAAGTCATAAATGCAAAACTGAGCTTGCAGAGTGAAACTGGATTTTTAAAATTCTAAAATACATCTGCCCGAGTGCAATTTTCATATGAGTTGAGTACAACAAAAGTTATGGACTGATGCATTGCATGATTTTAACTTATTTCAGCATTTTAAAGTTTTAACACTTGAATTTGATATCTGTTTAATGTTAATGCTTAATATTAATAACACTAATGATATTATCACAGGAGTAATAGCTTTTAATAATGATTTTAAAAAGTGATTTTTTTTTTAAACTCTTTAATAACTTCATGTGTAAACTCTTCAAATGGGAAATACCAGTCACAGTACATCCTTATTCATCAAGCACTGGTGGAATACAATCAGTATGGAGAAACAGAGATCAATCTCTCAGAGCTGCATTCCTCCCTTAACAATCTGAAAAGAAAAGACCACCCGAGTGAGCCTACTCTGCTGGAGGCAGAGTTCCAGGTAAATAAGCTTTGCATTCCAGCTGCCCTTCCTTCCCACTTATGTTAAAAATTGCCTTGCAGAATAGTCATTAGCTAGAGAGATACCACAGGCATTAGGCCATTTAGGTGCTACTTTATTTCTCTGACCACAGAAAGTTTCTTTACCTCCATGAAAAAAAGCTGTATGCTAATGAAGTTTTATTTCTGCTTTGGCATTTATATTTTTAAGAAAGATGGAGCTCACAGAATGATTACTTGTGTCTGTGTTCATGATTTCCTCTACCATTGTACATGGTGTAGCGGGCATTTTTAAATGGTAGTTCAGATGATACCAAAGTTTAAAGAACTTAAGGAGAGAGGCACTGCAAGATGAAGACTGGGTGTGAGTCCTGAGGAGACAATGATCTCAAGAACCATTTTAATCAAGCATAATATCAAATATCCTCTTTCTTCAGCGATTGCCATCCTATAAGGGGTGGCGGACACAGAACACTGGGAATCGGGATGAAAATAAAAGCAAAAATAGGAATGCCAACATAATTCCTTGTAAGTATTTTCCATTGCATTATTTTATCCCACCTTGCCTTATTTTATCTGTTTTCTTCTGTTAGAAAAATTTTGAAAAAATGAGCAATTCACCTTATAGAGTAGTATTTGATTAGTTTTCTGAACACTAAAATTCTAAAATTCTTATAGTGATTAAAAAAGAAAGATGAGTTTTTACCAATGTGAATTATTGGGAGTGTTTATTTCAAACAAGGTGGCCTTGGTTCTGCAGTCTATTGTGAAAGGACTGGCCTTTCTATTCCCTGGCCCCCACAAATGCCATACCCAAGGGCGTGCTGTGACGGTGACATTTTGTCTCACACAGATGACTTTAACCGCGTGCCCATCAGGCACGAAGAAGATTGCACAAAGGAGGGCGACCATGATTCAGATGAGTCCTCGGATGAGGACAGCGACTGTGAGGAGTCCAGCACATACATCAATGCTTCCTTCATAACTGTATGTATTGAGAGGATACACTGTAGGCATTTCACAAGCTTTCAGCTAAAACTCTTATTCTCTTGTTGGCATCACAGTAGAAAAGAATTTAGTTGAATAAGGGAGACGGAATTGATGGCTGATTGGCAAATCCATCTATGTTTAAAACCATTGGCCTTCAGCTGGCCTCATGATAACATATATTTCCATTACATGGCATCTGTCTACAGGTGGAACCAGATTAGTATTTTCCCTGTTAGTAAAATGTGACTATAGTTATTCACATGGACCAAACTCTACCAGTGAAAATTGGAGCCAACAGTGTTTTGGTATCCTTATATATCCAAAGAAGAACAATTATTGGTCATAAATGAAGTAACTGATTTTAATGGAATTACTAGCTAAGTTCCATTTATCTGAATTCTTTGAAATGCTGCACTGTTAGGATAACTATTCAGGGTAAATTCAGCTTTTAGGAAGCTCAGTGTGAACTGAATGGTGCACCAGCTTTGTGTGGTGTAAACACAATTTCGTAGTGGTAAAATCAAATGGCTGTGTAAAACAGAATGTTTTACCTCTCAAAAATATGCTTTTCAAAAAATGGCAGGGTGAGATCTCAGCCACTGCAGCATCAGTATATCTTCTTGTCAGTCTGAAGTGATGTTCTTAGATGGACTGAGGTTAGTGTCGTTTGGGTAGTAGAATTCCTGTAAGACTGTAAGGCCTACTGTGAAAGGCATGTTTTGCCTTTAAACAAACAGGTTCATTAATTTATTTCGTGGGGTATTCCTTAAATGACGAGTTCTGGTGTTTGACAATCACATTTCAAATGAATTGATGAAAAAAATTGTTTCTTTTATAGGGTTACTGGGGTCCAAAAGCCATGATTGCAACACAGGGACCACTGCAGGAAACTATCTCTGACTTCTGGCAAATGGTGTTCCAAAGAAAAGTCAAAGTCATTGTTATGCTGACAGAGCTGAAGGAGGGAGATCAGGTGGGGGCATTGTCTGCACACTGACACACTGAATATCCTCTACATGCAAACAAAACACTGCACTGCACTCTCTCATTCCCTTGCTCAAATGTTTTCCATAGGATGAGGAATTTGCGTTTCCAATATATTTTGCTCTATCATTTACCTGCTTAATTTACTTTCCAATGAATTTTTGAGGGAAAAGTGTATGATGCTGTATTTTAAAATACCATGGAACTCCTTTAGAGTCAGTATAGTCTCTAAGTGCATGTGGAAGGCAAAGTAAAAAGAGATTTAAGTGGTAATCACTGACTTGTACTTTTATCCATTTTAGGAACTCTGTGCACAGTACTGGGGAGAAGGAAAACAAACGTATGATGGCATAGAAGTTCAAATGGCAGATGTCAAGTCTGGTCCTAGCTATACCATACGTGCATTTGATGTTACACATCTAAAGGTGAAAGTCTCTTTGCAAATTCCAAAACGTGGTTTTCAAGGAGTTTTTAAATTTAAAAACAAATTTATAAACTTAGCATCAAGAAAGAGAAGAAACAGTTCCCACTGCAGTTCTAAGAACTCCTGCTCTAATGGAAATATTTTTCTCTTCCAGACCAACAGTCAATCATGAGAAATGCTATAAATTATCTCAAGTTTTCTATTTAGTGAGTTGCTGAGATGGTGGTAGAGGAGTCTTAGGAGATCAACTCTCTTTTCTACTTTGAACAAAGCTTGGATGTTTACCTACCTCATATTCATGAGGCAGAACTCTCATCCTGCAGTTCCTCAGGAATATAATTCTTTGTTAATCAGCAGCAATAGAGTTACTGTGTGAATCTGTATTTTAACCTGAGCATTAACCACATCTCCACTGCTGTTTTCCAGACAAAAGAAACTCAGAAGGTGTATCAGTATCAATATCACCAGTGGAGTGGCTGTGATGTTCCAGAAACCCCCAAAGATTTAGTCAGCATGATTCTCAACATTAAACAAAAACTTCCAGCCAGACCAGTCACTGAGGACAACAGGAGAACCCGCAGTGTCCCACTGCTTGTCCACTGCTGGTGGGTCTAATTCAGCACACACACATTCACCTAGCTCTAAGTTCTGGATATACATAGCAACCATAATTTTGGGATGCCTACCTTTTCTCACAAGCCTTTCCGAGTGTCTGGAGACTCAGCTCTCCGAAGAAGATTCCTTGAATTGCTCAAGGTTGCCCTTTTGGATTGTAGTGATGAAAAGAAAGCACACTTCTCTTGGGCAAGTGTGGGCACAGAGCAGGTGCTATGAGCAGCTCCTCTTGGCTGGTGCACCTGTTTTGTGGGGAAATGCTAGGTCAGAGTGCACTTGCAGGATGCACTAGTGAACATCCAGTAGAGTTTTTGGAATCATCTCTCATTCCAGGATACAAGTGCACTTTTCTAGGACCTTTTCCAGGAATAGCCTTGCATGCCATCTAAACCAGAAGATAATCCTGCTAACAATAGTTGAGACTGTAAGTCTCAAATTTTGAATTTCCCTCTTTCCCTTAAGTGGTACCTCAGGTCCAGGTAGTCTCTAGGTAAACTACGTCCTGTGTGAATCCTACACGTATACTTAATTGTGACAATTTCAGTCCAATAAAAAATGCTTTGGAATATAACTCAGTATGAAGTTTTTAAAATATATCTAACATTTAGTCAGAAGACTTCTTATTTTGCTTTGTAAATTTACATGTATATTTTGCATCATCTTGTAGTGACGGATCACAGCAGACTGGTGTATTTTGTGCTTTAATGACCCTTTTGGAAAGTGCAGAAATAGAAGAAGTAGTAGATGTTTTCCAAGTAGTGAAATCACTTCGTCGCACCAGGCTGGGAATGGTCTCCACCTTTGTAAGTAAATCTTATGAATTAACAGGGAAAGAAAGAGACTACTTACCATGATCACTAATATCCCCATAACCTTGGGCATAATTTCTGCATAGGGAGCACTGATTCGAATCAGAACATTCACACTCACCACCATTTGGGCAGTGGTGCTTGCTGATAGGAATGAAGGAGTCTGAGATATCCAGAGCTGCAGTTCTGTACTGCCTTTGGCAAAGGGTCTATAGTTTCAAATTACAAATTGCATTAATTGCTGTTCCTGCAGTTGGTTCATGATGTACATGCAGTGTCCCTTCTGCAGCTGGAAGATGAATTCCATTTGCAGGCTGGCAGCCACTGACTGTTTTGTTTAGTCACTCCAGAGGAACTGTGGCACACACTGTGCACAAAATAGACCTGGGTGTTGTCAATATGGGCAGGTTATTACATGACCTTCCAGACTCACTACAATACATGTTGTTTACAACTTAGGTACTCTAAAAAACATATTTTTGGTACTTTATGAACCAAAAGGGCACTGAGAGCTTGGAATATCTGATGCAGACAGTTTCAGAGATGTTATGTACACATGAAGTCAGAATAAACCATAGAAGCAACACTCTATGTGCCAAAAACTGTTGAAGTGCTTCATATACAGTCTTGCTTGTCCAACTACATGCTACATTTCTAAAATGTAAGAGAAAAAAGAAAGAATGGATTAATTCTTGGACTCTGAGCATTCCATTAACACTAACTTCTCTTTATTTTTAAGGAACAATACCAATTTCTGTATGACACCATTGCCAGTACCTACCCTGCACAGAATGGACAAATAAAGAAGAACAGCCAGCAGGAAGATACAGTCGAATTTTGTAATGAAGTAGGAAAATCAGATCAGGAAACTGATTTGATCACAACTGATTTTGCCCCACCACGGCCAGAGGAAATTGAGCCACCTGAAATATGTGATGGTTCAAAGGCTGCAGATAGCACTAAGGGAACAGAAAGCTCTACAAATGGCCCCACAACTGCAGTTCTAACTTAGAGCTAGACTAAAAAAGTGCTTTTTCGCATGCAAAAAATCTTAAGCAAAATGGGAGGTATAAGATTTCTTCTTCCCACTTTTTTTTTTTTTTAATTTTAGTTATTTTGGTTTTTGAAAGGTACAAATTTAAAGGAATACTTGAAATTTGTAGAGAGAGACAAAGAACTGTGGAATTTTAATTTTTTTTTGTGTAGATTTGCATTTAATACTTCTACAGAAACCTTCACTATTTTTATACTTTTCTTTTTAAAAATATGTACAGTGTAATACTATGCTGAGGAGTGCAAAGCAAATTTTTTTATTTCTGTAACAAGGAAAAAAGCAACTCAGAACAAGATTATTGAGTTGCAAGAACAGGTCTGTCTTCAAAACTACTAGCAAGTAAGTGAACCTATAGGTAAGCATATATTCTAGTATTTGAGGACTAATGAGAGCATTAATAATACTCTTGGCACTTGAGGGAGTTTGCCAAACAGTTTTAAGAGCTTACAATTTACATCATGTGGCATTTCCAAGGAATTCCTATTTACAAAGGATGTGTAAGTCCTCCCATATCAATGCAGAATAGAAATTTTTGCATTTTTCTAAGTGTCCTCAAGGTGTCCTTATTGCTCCACATATATTAATCTGATACTCCTGTAGGAGTTTGGAGATCCACATTTGATCATTGCAAGAGTTCTGGTGGAAAACACATCCTGTTTACTCTTATAGCTTAAAATACTGAGTGCTTGCATATCTATTTCTTGTGCTTACATTTATTTAAAGGACTACTTCCATGAATGCCTCCAAACTCTTTTCAGAATTGGAAAATACTTTGATAATTTTACTTGTAGATTTTAATTGGTACAGGATATTTTTTTCATAATGTTGTTTTGTATGTTACAATTTTGATATTTTTACTATTTCTTGCTGGATTTTTGCCTTCTGTTTTCAGAACAAATAAAAAAGGTAATAATTGACAAGATAAAAATTTTCTTCTCTAGTACTATGCAAACTGATCATTTACTTCTAAATGTATAAAATCTTGTGCTGTGCCATACATGGATAAAATTAACAAATGTCAGTAGGAAAACACATCATTTAATTCTTCTAAAACTGTGTGTGTACCCAGGTAAGTGTCATGACTCTCGGAACAGAGGAAAGAGGCTTCATTTTATTTTGCTTGAAGCCATCAAAGGAACAGTCACGCAATAGATTCAGTGCTCCAAGTTTATCACTGCTTGTTCCTAATTTCTCATTACAAAACATAATTGAAATCACTTAGAGAGCTGTCTAAACAACATGTACAGTCACACTTGGTTAAAACCCTGATTTAATTGTGCTGTTAGCCTAGATCAAATATATCATTCACAATTATCAGCTCAGACAAGTGCTTGCTGGCAGTCTTGCTTCAGAAAGTGGCAGCAAGCAGACACAGAGCAGGGGGATTCCCCTTGGCTGTCAGCTGAATTCCCTTTTCAGCAAGGGGTTGTGTTAGGTGATAAACTAACAAAGCTGAAGGGGTCATGTGTGGAGGGGAAGCTCTAGGGACTACATGGGAAAATAATCTAAAAGATATTGTTGGCCCAAAATCTGTTGGTGAGTTTTAGAGAAACGAAAAACAAAATTGCGAATTTAGCATACCTTGAAGATCTAAAGACCCTTGGATGCAGATTAGTTCACTGGTGTTCATTGCATGTCAGAGAACAATTAATATATTGTTAATATATATCCTTTGTTTAAGATTTCCCAACTGTAAAGCCTCTCTTTCACATAGAAAAACTAAGAGGTGAGTACTGCTGTCTAATGTAAGGCTGTGGAAGCAGACTAGTCACACTTTTAAAATAACTGAAAGGGTTTCCCAAATCAAAAATTATGCCAAATTTTCTTGTTTTAAATCTGAGGACAATCATATACTTCAATTCCTTAAAAAAAGGTCCCTATGGTTTTTAGGCTCCTGCAGGCTGTAAAAACCTTGCATGATTTAACTGTTTTCTAGAATTATTTCAATGCTCTTTTGCTGGTGTTTTCTAAAAGAGAAGAATGCCAATTCTTGATTTGTGCATGTACTTTGAAAGAGAAGTCCTTAACTCTGTTAAATTGTCCTTCATGCATGTCTTCATTATTAGAGAAATGGAGCTTCACACTGAAACTGCCCTCATGTGCCTAGTGTGATCCACTTTTGCAGTAAAGTTCCTTACAGTCACAAGGAGGTAAACCAAGCTCTTGGCTTTTAATTATTTTCAAATTAAAGAACATATTGTAGAATTAAATCTCATTAAATCCCAGTTTAATGAAGGAGCCTGTCTTAACACAGTTTAGAAATTCTGATTGCTTGCAGGAACTCTCCATGTGTGTGCCAGGGATGCTTTTTTGCCTTCTCTATTGTCCTTTGTTTCCTGAACATCCATGAGGTGGTGACACAGAGCTTGTAGAAGGTGGTCCTTGTGCTGGATGCTGCAATGTCACTTGGTTTATTCACTTGCAGGATTAATCTCAAGTTCCCCAGGAACATGGTGAAACATTTTTCAGGTGAGACACGAAGCCCAAGCTAGAAAGCTTTGCTAGGAGCTGCTTCAGCTCTGTCAGGGCAAGAACAATAGTGTAGCACACTGGCTTTGCATAGCCTGAAAGCTGAGAAACAGTCTCAAAGTAAGATGAAAAATGTTTATCTCATCAAGTACAGCTTACTGTACCATAGAAAACGTGCTAACCACTGCCTCAAGCAGAGCAAACCACTCTTGGAGAATGGTTTAGAATCTGAAGTCCAGGATAAAAACAACTAAGCAACAGATAAGCTGAGAGAGGACTTTGAGCAACAAATAAAGGTAATCAAGTGCTTATGTGACCAGAGGGACTAAATTTCTCCCACGATTTTCTGGGTAGACGCTGACATAAAGGTAGGTATGTAAAAATTACAGTGCTGTGTTAGTGGAATCCAGTGTGGGAAGATGGGGGAGAGGAAGGACCTCAGAATCTACACAAGATTCTGCTGTCAGGTAATTGCAATCAGGAGTGGACTGTATGTGCTTTTGTTTAGTTTTTTGCTGTTTCTCGTGCTCTGTAATGAACAAGGCACTTATGTAAAACCTTTTCAGAGGCTGTACATTATGATGCAACACAAAACAGGACCAGCACAGAGTCCTGGCACTCGGGGTCCCGGGAGATGGCAGAAGCTCTGCTGCTCTCCCACAGCCCAGCTCCCAGTGCTGGATTTGTGCTCCCGAGGGAATGTTTGTGCCTGCTCCTTTCCCCCACACTCGTGCACAGTGTCCACGACCCGCTCTCTCCACGTCCGAGCCGGCTGGTGCTGCCGCAGCACATGCTCCAGTGGCACTGAGCTCACTCCCGCTGGGAAAGAGGGCATTCTGCCCCTTGCCCCCGGCGGATGGGCTGGGCAGAGCTGGTGGCCACACACAGGAGCCGAGGGTCGCGACAGGCCTGGAGAGTCCCCAGCTGTCCCAGCCCTGTGCTCCCTGTTACCTGAGGACACCCCCTGTGCAGGAGGGCTGCTGGGGGAGCGAGGTGGGCAGCGCCTTCTGGGCTTTGCTGCAAGCCAGGAGAGCTGGGTGGAATAATCCGCTGTGAGAGGCACCAACTGTGCTGGGTAGTGCGTCTGAGCCACAGAAAGTGCTGAAGTTAGGAGATACAAAGGGAAGGAAACTCCTGCCATTGTGAGTTGTTTGTTTGTGTGAGATAGCAAAGAAAGTAAAGTGGGTGGTGGCTCCAGACAGGTGTTTCATTAAGCACGAAGGTGTATCTTTTATTTAACATTCCTCAGAAAAACTCTCCAGCACCAATGCTTATCTCTTTGACAAGGAATATTGCTTCTGTAAAGGCCCAGGGATTTTTTGACATGGTACATTTTACAGATTGCCTCTAAAAGAAAATCAGAAATTCCCTGAGGGCTCTACACAGCTGTACCACAGCTATTTTTCCATACGTAAAGCAAGTGTTTGCCAAGCACCAACATGCTGGTTTTGGACTGGGGAGAACTACAACAGAAGAAAAGGGAGTTTCAGTTACAGAATACAGAACATTTCTATGTACATTAGCTCTGCTTCAGAAAAACCTCAAGTCTTCAGATAAATACAATCCAATTTGGAAGGTACAGCAACAGAGAATATTTTATACAAAAGCCTAAGTCAGTCTGTCTTTTCAGTGCAAAAGGAAGGAACATGATTACAAAAGTACTGTGCAAGTTGATGCTCAAAGATCTTTTTTATAGTAATAAAAAATTATATAGGAAGGATACTTACTACAAGTTATAGTAAAATATAGCTTTAAATACTTTTAGCTTTAAATAGTTATGTCCTCAAACTCTGGATTGCCAGCATCAGCAATACATAATGTTACTAAACTTTCTAAAATTAAGGTAATAAATCTTTTTCAGAGGAATAGGCATAGATCTGTTTACAGCTGAGTGTCTCTTTAATCCCACATCTGTGAAGTGCCACGGCAGGCAGTACTAACATAGCCATAAGTGTGACTGTCTGACACACAAAGGGAAAAATAAAAGGAAGTTTATTTTGGATCAGTTTCAGCACTCAGATTCAAATTTTTGCTTTTGGAGATGAACTCTCCCGATAGCCTGACCTTGCCTGGCAGTCAGCTGGGAGTCAGAGCTTGCACATGTCAGTGCTCCACAGAGTCCTTGGGGAGACCCTTGTGTATTTTCAGAGCTTCCCAGCAGGCTGTGCTGAAACTCTTCAAACGCCTTTTGCTCACTCCTGAGTCTCCTGCAGTGCATCCAGCTTGCTCCATTTCAGTAACATGGAGCCATTTGAGGTAATGAAGATGGCATTTGTTTGTGCAGCACTGCAGAGCTCGTGTCTCCCTAGGACCAAGCTCCAGTTCAAACACAGAGTGTGTGCGTGTACGCATCGCTCATTGCCTCAAGTGTGAGATTCCATCCCCAGCCAGAAATCCATGAGCTGCTGATTTGGCAGCTGCTTGGCTTAAAGGAAGGAAAATTGGAGAAGCAGGGATGATATGGTGATCCTGTACTAACTTTTTTGTGGGGCAGTGCAGCTGGTGGTCTTTGTAATACTGGTTTTCAGAGATGAATTTGCAAAAAGTAAATTACAGGTGAGGTGCAGGAGACTGCATGGCTACAGAGCACTCCTGTTGTCACAGCCTAAATCAGAGGCTACCAAATATGTATTTGTCAGTGTGCGTGTTCTTCAACTGCAGAGAAAAATGGTAAAAAAAATGACAACAGAAAGTTACCTCTGGAAGACGATGTTCTTGCCAAATGCAGACATTTGGTAAGAAATAGCAATTTTGAATATTTTTAATTGAAGGAAAAAGAATAATTTTAATCCTGTTTTTGTAATGTTAATATGTCATTTTGAGAATAACAATATCTTGTTCTACGTTTAGCACTATAGTTCCTTTTACTCCTGCTGTTTTCAGAAATACTTAAATATATTTTTTTAATATATCCTTATGTTACTGAAACCACTTCAAGACTAAAACAGTTCAGTATCATTAAGTGTTTCCTTTTTCTAGGCTGCTTTCTTAATATAATTTCTGTTCAGCAATAAAATGAAATTCTGACTTCATGTATTGATTTAGCATAAATAAAATTCTCACAGAACAGGAATTCAATTTCTTAAATGGCATTAGTAAATTATTCCACAAAGAGTTATGTCTTGTTTCAAAGAGAGCAAGGTGTTTCCACTGTCAAATAACACCTTGCTGTGCTCCACTCACAGTGGAAAGACTTTCTGTGGTGTGGCAGTGCAGGGCAGACAAGGCTCACAGCCCCCTGACAGACAGCTTTGCTCTCATCTTCACAGTCCAGTTTGTTGAAGACTCTGACTCTTCCTTCTGTAGCTTTTGCTCAGTTACTGAATTGTGATCTCTTCCCATCTGAATAATTTTATCAGATTTCTAGGTTTTCTTCTGATTTGGAAGCTCCTGCATTTCACT